GACTTCTGTTTTTACAGTATTTGACATGGCCAAATAAGATCTCAATGATGAGTCACTGAATCTACAGTTATAATTGCAGATTTACAGTGCCAGGTTGAAATCAGTGTCACATTCACATCCTTAAACGAGATGCAATGACTACTACTACTGTTTAGCAACAGATCTATACAAATGTAAATGGACTGTGATTTTTCTATAGCCAATCCTCAGACATGCTGCACTTCCCAATGTCCTCATCACCTAAAACCACTAACCCACAACTAGTATTAAAACAGAGACCCTGTTCTGTTAGTTAACTTCTAAATGACTAATACACAGAAAAGAAACACCTTTGAGAGGAAACAGGCGAGGAAGAAAGAAGAAAAGTGACTCAGAGTCATGTTTGTGAGATTTTCACAGCTAATCACACACAAGACTGATTCACTGCTCACCTCGCTCTGTTCACTCATTTTTCATATCATACTTTTCACTGCCCCATCAGCCTGCTCCACCAAGGTCAAATGAAGGAAATGATAGCACACATACCACACTAAGATTTATTATAAACACTTCTGCTTTCTTCATACGTGGAGGAAATATGTTACTGACATTACTGTTTATAAAAATTAAGGTAAGCAGTAGAGGCCATCAGACTGGATAAATAAGAAATGTAAAAATTTCAATAAAAAGGGAATAATTTATCTCTACTCGTTTGCAGTGACTGAAGGTTTTTTTTTTTATATCAACAAGATGACAAAAATTTCCACCATATAACACGAAGATTATCACTGCTACACAAGTCAAGTAGGAGCACGCCTCTTTTTTTTCCCCGTCCTTTCTTACACTTTAACTGGAATTTCAAACCGGGGGCACAAATGCCACTTGAGCCACAGTAACAAAGCAAAATCTCAGTGACTTCATATATGTAACAATTATGAATGAGTGCACACCCAGAAACTCAGGCCTGAAAGTAACCCATTAACTACAAGGGATGATTTGCAGCAAGTTAACAAAGCCAAGTGATTTGGCCATGTGTAAACTCCTCCTTAGAAAGAAGAGTGCTATTTCATTATTGTCAATTAGGAACTAACACGGTGAAGAATGATTGAGTTACCTCCAAAATAGCTACAGATGTGTCAAAAAGGCAGTCAAACACCAAGAGTCTTTCACTTTCCATCCAAAAGCCTATTTCGAAGATGCCCAAATCACCTGTGTTCTTTAGTGTCTGGCACGGAAATTCTATGAGACAGTACAGAAGAGAATAAATAAAGCTGTCTTTTCACATTGCCTATGAATGACCACAGCACATCACTACACCAATTTTCCAGGATTACAACGATTTTACTAAAGAAAAGCTTATTAACTTGTACTTAAGATCTTCCTTAAATATGAAGAAAGCATTTCAGTACTTATTCTCAAGCTGTCAAATTACCCCTTTTTATAAAAAAAATGGACATTCTTCTTGGTATCTCTTTAGTTAATTAGTTTAGCTTTAGCAGTTAGTGCTAAATGACTAAAAAAAAAAAAAAAAAGTGACTGGAATGCCAGGCGAACAAAGCTCTATGTACTACTTCTCACCAGCAGCCCTGACCAAAAAAAAAAAAAAAATCATGTCTCTGTGTTTGCAGAAGTACAGAAAAATAACGCAAAATGTGCAAGATGCCAAAAAATCTGCTGCAAACATCAGATGTGGTATATGCATCCATGTCCAACATAGAAATCACTGACTCTTCAACTTTAAAGGGCCATCATAAAAAAAATTCATCTCAATGAAATAACTCAAGTAGACCCTCAAAAGCACAGTTACACTGAGAAGGGCAGGTTTCTAATCACACATGTAAATGAATTACAGCATTTTTTATTTACACACTTATCAGAAAAGTAAACTACGAAATTAATTATTGTTCTCATACACAGACCCCAGGGACTATTCCTGAAAAAGCATAAGGGCTTATATCAGGGTTGACTATAGTTTTATTTGCAGTAATATTTGACACAACACTCCCAAAAGAACTTAGTGTAGCAAGAATTCTACTGCTCTAGTTTACAGCTAAAAATTTTTCTATAAATAAATAAATCACATATCTAAACAGCTGGAACATGTGACATGGAACTACACGATCTTCGTTTTAATTTTTATTCTCAATTGTAAAAAATTAGGAAAATGGAAGATTAAAAATGGAGAAATTACAGATCAGCAGTTTTGTTTTTTCTCCCATCGAATTCCATTTCATGCCAAAACAAGATTAAATACCCTATCCTAGGGTAACTTTCTGCAGCACTGCCTCTTTGCAAGAACAGAGGATGCAGCAAATCACCTCCTGATGTTAGCTAAATTACTTCCAAAAACAAAGGTAATGCAAAATATGTAATCTAAATCAAAATCTCTTATGCCCTAAGAAAGCAGGTACTACTTACACTAAAAACAGCACCCATACTTGTCATATTTCATATCCATGCCGTTCCTAACCAAAAAGCTCTAAAAGACCGATTATACCTTTCCTTCAAGATAGGAAGTATCTTGTAAGTATCACGTAAGTATACACTGCATAAGGGCTATATAACATCATCTTCCATCAGAGTGACCAGAATTATTCTACCTGACTGTCCCCAGTCCTCTCACAGAGCAGAGCAGTAGATGACAGAAACAGCTCACACCAGCAATCCCCACAGCTCACACCAGCAATCCCCACAGCTCACACCAGCAATCTCCCAAAGACACACTGAATGCATTCAGTGCCCACATCCTGAAACCAATGTACATGACCAGGCTTCAAAAACAGATTAGCAAATACGTTGTACAGTGTGAACAACATCAGTTTTTCCCACATAATTTCTATGCATCTTTCCAAGCCCAAAATAATTCCCTGGAAATATGTAGAGACTCCATTAATCAAGACAAGTTCTCCAGTTTAAAGAAGGCTAAGTGTTTCATGGACACTCTGGAAAGCTCATCAGTAAAAACACTACACTATAATTATCTTCACAGCAATTTATTCATTGACATCCATTGACTAAATCACATTTCTTAAAATTCAATTAAACACATTATATTACTATGTAAATGGCTGTTTCCCACATACTTCCAACATCAACAACTGAGGAACAGCTTCTCTTTTCTCTGATGACTTGCATTTTTCTGCAGTTGAAAGCACATCAGGGCACTGCATGGAAATGTCTTGTTACACAGTGCATTCTGGTTTTTCATAATCTGCTGAGTGGAAGGAGAAGTAACAGCTTGGGCCAACCCGTGTTCTTCAAAGTGTCTGTGTGAATCCAAGGAATTCCAACACAACCACCTCATGCTGCCAGAAGATATTTTTCCCAGTATGCTGTATATAAACCTTCATTTCTGTTTGCATTCTGCACTGAAATGATATTTGATTTCTAAAATCAAAATAGTGGATAAAATTAGGACCTACTGATTTACTTCAGTAGGGTAATTCCTATTTTTCTGTTTCTATATAAGCAGATAAATAACAAAAAAAGTCTTGCGATCCCCTCATGTAAATAAAATCTGGTAGTAATTGAAAGCTACAGGTCTGTTTCCCTTAAAAAACAGACAATAATATTATGGTACTAAGAAGCTACATCAACGGGAAAACACATGATTTTTCTTCAGTAAAATAAAATGCACATAATGGGTTTATTATTACCATGCATCTGAAGGCAGTATCCAAATGCCTGCCTCTAGCAGGAGCACAGTTTGTATGAGAAAAAATATTTTTATTCACGATAGCAAAAGCAACAATAACTGATTAAAGTAAATTTAGTGGAAACATTAAAATAACAGCTGTGGAAAGAAAATTTATTTTTCTCTAGCATACTGTGTGGACTTATTGAAAATAATCAAGTACTCAGTTTGAATTAACTGAGTGTGAGTGAATCTTGAGAAAAAGAGAAAGAGATGGCAATAAAAGGCACTAACAGGAATTTGTTAGCTCCTTCTCTGCTTGGTTTCTTCATATATTTTAAGAAAATCTGCAAAGATGCAAAGAATCCTCCTGTGTTCGGTTAGCAGTAAGTAAATTGCTGTGGGCTCTGAGTGCTGGAATACTTTAGCAGGCAATTCCTCTCTGTCTTTCATTCTGTTTGTCTGTGTTAAATTCCCCCTCTGCCCTCATCCATTCTCACATCCAGTTCCCAGCTTTGTCCATCCATCAATCCACACACTTTGTCAGTGCTGACTTCATCCTGGCTCTCACAATCACATCCCAGCCAGGCTGCTGCCACCAGGGAGCTTTTTCGCCTCCCATCTGCGTCTCCCCGAGCTGCTGACTGAGGCCCTGCCGCTTGTCGCTTTCTATTGCACAGGCAAGCAAAACCACTAATACTGAACCTGATTTCTATCGTGCAGCTTTTCACCTTTCCTATCGGGAGGAACAGAGAAAGAGACAGACAGACAGAGAAGGGGAGAGAGAGAGAGAGATGTTTGCTGAATTTTCTAAAACAATTCGTCCGCTAGTCAGGTTGAGGCTCAATTCATCTTCAGCTCTACAAAACATCAATAGAAATCACAAGGAGAAAATGTATCACTAATTAAGGGTTGATAAGCTCTACGTCAAGAGCAGTTTAGAAGAAAAAAAAAAAAAACACCTCACCAGCATATAGAGATTTTTTACCAGCTGAAATCCAAGCAGCAGCTTCATGGCAACTTAAAGTTAAAATCTCGTATAATTTTCTTGCATAAAACATGCTGTCTTAGTAGCAACATTCTGGGAAAATAACACACCAAAACCAAATGCAGTTTCATTCAAAAGGTAATTTACAAAGATTTAAATTTCAGCTGGAAAAACATAAAAGATGACTAAAGAAACAAATTGTTACCTAGCAATGAAATTATATTAAATCACTGTGTTTTTCCCGTTCCTTTTCCTCAGTTCAGCAGTGCAATATTCTAAGCACAAAATAACTTCTATTAATATTTTGCTTTTAATTAGAAGCTAGGTACTTGCAAAAACATGGTGCTGCTTCTCAGAAAAAAAAAAAAAAGTAATATAATCATCTCAGCATTAGCTAAAAACGACAAAAGTTCTTGAAGCATTCCATTTGTGCACTACAAAGTAGAAGCAGGGTGGAAGGGTATATGTTATCACTAAATCAGCAGTTACGTGAGCAAAAACATTTTATGAAATGGAAATTAACTCATTTCCATCATTATAATATACTTGATTCTACCTGTATAAACAAAATGGAACAAGAATGTTTCTGACAGGTCATTTCAGGAACAGAAATCACCTGCATGAAATCACTCACTAGGGAACTGAAACCCTCCCAGAAACAACTTCTATGTCCTGGTATAAATCTTTTTGCCTAATTGTGCTTCAGTTTACAAACCGCTCACTCACAACAACTCGGTGAGCACACTATTTAACTCACCACTAAAAATATATTTTTATGTGTTTTGATGAAAGATCCCATCAGCAAAAACACAGGATTGTTCTATGACCTGTACAAAGTACTTCAAATATTCTGGGACTTGCTGGGCAACAATAGGCTCTGCTTCCAGTCTCGGTTATACTGCTAACTATCCCCTTACTGCTGAGTACAGTAAATCCTGCTGATTCCTCACTCCTCAAAGACACAGAAGAAAGAAAAAAAATAAATCTAATGATCAGGCCCAGGCTTTTTTCTCTCATCACACCCCTTCCCTCAGGGATCAAACTGTTCTTTTCTCAAAGATATACTGACACACCCAAGAATCACATTCTGTCTACATGTATACATCCAATTACAATATCACAGATATGTTTTACTTTAAGTTTATTTTTAGCTAAAACTTGAACATAAAGCCAATAAAAGAAAACACACGAAAGAAGAAAAAAAGAGATACTTGAGGGTGATCTGAGCTAACGAAAATAAAGACTTTCCCTCAACGTGCATGAATATGTGACCTGGGCCTTCCTGCCATACCTGTATTTCATTGCACTTAGGAAGGGAGACAGAACCCCAGAACACCCCAGTTTTATTCCCTGAACCACTGGCCTCATGTATGTTTCAGGTATGATACAGTAGAACTGAAAAGCAGCAGAAGAAAGTCTTCTTTGCTGGGCTACTATACACATCAGACATCTCTAATTAGACAGCAACAAAATTTTATTAATAGGCTGGACATTATGGAATGAGCTTGTTATAAATGGGCCCTGTCAAAGCCTTATTCAGCTACCAAATGAGTATTCTCAGTTCACTGCTCGCATCTGAAGCATCACCGCTGGTGCCGGATAACAAATGATTGCTATTAACCGTATTGTTAGTAATGATGGCTGAAAACAAACAAAAACCCATAAATAACAGTCTACAGAAAAATTAACCCATAAACTTGATAGATATCCAGCTGAGAAATAATAAATGACACTTTGGATCCTGCTGGGAGAAGCTAGTGGTTTTTGTTTTCTTCTCTGTCATTAACACATTTTCTGTGCTAAAAATTAGATTCTGATATATAATTATCAACGCTTCCAGATATTAATTCTGCTATCGCTCCCTCTGCTTCTCTGCTGGTTGGGTGTAATGTTATTCACAGATTACTCTGAGAAAACACATCAAACACTTAACAGAGCAGGTCAAAGTGACAAGCAGCTTTTGCTGACAACACCAACCTGCACAGCCTTTTTTACCCCGGACACAAAACAAATTTCTCATATTAATTTACTCTGGTTTCTTTGTAGCTAGAACAAATCTTTGCTATGTAACATGAGCTATGCGTATTCCCAGCTGTCCTAATGTAGGCTGCACTGAGGAGGAAGAACTGACAATTATTATCTTGCTTTTATAGAGTGATTCCACATTTGTTAACATCCTAGAGAAATATGCTTATTTTCACAGCCAATTAAAACAAGTTTCTTTTTACCAGATATAGTTTCAGTGGCAAAGGCATGCTTTCTCTCTCCTTTTAGGGAAAAAAAAATAAAACTGACTATGAAAAACACTCATATGTTTTCACTGAAGATGGAAAAGCAGCCCTACTTTTTTCAATAAAAGAAAATTAGGAGTCATTATTCACCTGCCTCTCAAGCACAAAAACTTTGCAACCATTGCACACAAACATAGCAATGAACAAGTCTTTATCAGACTTTAATATGTTTTGATGAGAAGACACAGGGTAATATCACAAAATAATTATGCCTCACTACCTTGGAAATGTTTGCATACACAAGTAACTTGGAGGAATGTTACTGATCACGGTCAGTCATTTGCAGCACCTGAAGCCCAGCCCCTGCTGCACACTGCACAGAGCAGCTTACATGGCCCCTTCCTCAAGACTTTACTGTCCACTGCTGTACCCATGGAGTGACGGGCTGCTCACACAACCCAAGTTATATGTGCACGTTACGTTGGCAGGAACACTACATTTTCTGGTTCATGCTCTGCACAGTTTGCAATAATTTTTTTAATGCTACTCATAAGCCTTTTTTATAACACATTTTTAACTATTTTGATATACATTCGTATTTGACTTGCTGTATTTATAGTGACATTTAAGTTCACTCATTCGAGCAATGACTTTCAGTTCCTTAGACTTCAATGAATAACATGCTTCAGAGTATTAAAGAAAAAACCCTTAGGTAAACAAAATTAGAGAATATAAACAGGTGCGGACCACCGTAAAGTATGAAGAATGCATAGTACAAATGACACAAATTTCTGGACATTCTTTCCTCCCTTTTCCCCACCTACAATAAAGTATAGGAAAAAAATCAGAGCAATGTTTCTGCCAACAGGTTAGAAATTCCCTTAATTGCAATTATTCAAGGGAAATGGCTTGCTCACTATTCACATGTTCTTTTCCAATTAAACAGCTTTCCATTACATTTGTAACAGCATCTAAGGAAAAATATTTTGGAAAAGTATTTAAATAAATTAAAAATGAAGGTTGGAGGGAGTATTTCCTGCTCTGCATGCCTAGTTTTTAATTTCCACATTGTGTCCCCATGGCCATGTTTTGCTGATGACAGAGTCTGACTGCAAATCCCATACCTGCTATACACTACGTTTTCTCAGTATCTGGCACTGTGATATTAAATAACTATAAAACTAGAAAGCCAAAATAACTAAATCACCTGGCAGCCAATTTCTGAGAGTTAAACCACAAACCCGGAAAATGGTGGAGTGTGTTGAAATAATGTAAAGGAAACCCATAAATTCAAACTTTATGTTCTGTAAAGAACAAATATGAAAAAGGCATCAAAATAATGAAAGATTGTTTATGTATTCTGGCATGAAATGGGAATGTGTTATGAGAGAGAGCGCAGTGGCAGAGACAGATCGACAGAGCTGACAGTGTGGTATTCATCCTGCATGGTACAGCAGACGTCCTGCTAGTGGCAGTCGACAGCGCAATAAATCAAGGGCTCTCGATGCTGTACCTACAGCTTATTACATCCAAGATGACAAATAAATAATAATCCCTGTCACAGCGGCCCTTTGCTCAAGGATTGAGCCTGAAACCTTTTGCTCATCACTCCTGGTCTTAAGTGAAAATACTAGAACAAGGGAATTGAAGGCCACGGTTTACTGAGCTCATGAAACACAAAGCAAGCTGGCCACAGGAACTAAAACCAAGCAGGAAAGGTCAAGTAGCAAGAAAGGATAAATATTTAAATAATCCCTGCAAAAGGATGGCAACATTTCGCAGCTGTGAAACTGCAAGAGATTTTTAAAAACCCCAAGCCTCTCGTGTCAAGGCCCCAAACACTTGAAACTGGTAGCATTAAGTTCCAGAGTTTCTGTTTTCCAACTACACATTGGGGCACATGCCCATGAGTTTGTTTGCTCCCTCCATTATCCCCAAGTAGAATAGCTGTACAACCAAGGTGGATGTCAGGCAGCAAAACCCCATCCCCTCCACACCATCCCCTAAAGGCAAACAACCAATCTTGAAGAAAGAATCCCTAGTTCTCCCTTTTTAGTATTTTTTTCCCCAGTATTTAACTTCTTAGAATGCTTTTAGCAGTTAGGATATCTTTGAGTCATCAACTTAGAAGACAGTACAAAAAAAACAAAAGTCAGTATCAACTAATACTGCAGAGAGGTCTCATTCATCTTGCTGGCCCACAATTATAAACACAGATGCATACAAGGTGCCTTGAGTCCATCATCAAATCTGACACAGGTTTTTCTGCTTCAAATTAAACATGGATCTTCTGTAGAGTCTGGTAGAATACTGAAGTTAGAATAAACATGTCTTTTTTAAATACTCACAACAACAGAGTTTACTTTGTCAACTTCATGTCTCTTTATCATTTAAACTTGCAGTTGTATTTTCAAGCAATAGAGACAGCACAGAATTAATCCAATGCCAGTTCTGAGGCTCGTTGTTGCCACCTGCAAACGCTTTTGTCTCTTAAGGTAAATCCCTTGCTCATTCTTTACTCCATTTTTAAAGTAACATCCCTCAACAAAATCTGGTCAATACAGAAAGTAGAACTTTACAAGGTATATTAGAGGAGTACAACATCATCAAAAACACATTAAAAAAAAAAAAAGCAACCTTACATTGACTGTCAGGTGCTGAATGAGGCCTCCTCCTTGATGATGATGACGAGGAACTACTTCATAACTTTTCTCTGATCACTGCCAACTTTTTTGTACTTTTTCAGACACATTCCTACTTAATAGGGTAGCCAAGGATACTGAACAACAAATAATTTGTCCATATCCTATTTGTGCACTGCCCACCCAATGGTTATTGTCTTCCTTGGAACACCAATTTTAGGCGATTTTTTGCCTTCCTTTCTTTCTAACTTTACCAAATATATTTGTTTACCAGCTCTTTACTTTCTAAAGCTCTTTCTGAACTCTGCATGCACAATATTAAGTCTTACACCTTTAAAACATATTTTTTTAAAAGCTATGCTAAGACAACCCTTTTTATATCTATGTATTGATAAAAAATGCCTCATTATATTCATACAAAATATCTGTTTGGCTTACTGTTCATGTTACCTAAATATACTGAGGTTAAGAAAGAATTATTGTGATCAAGACAGATAAACCAGGCCTGGTTTCATAATGACATAAGTCTCATAATGACATCTATAAGTTTCTGGAACTTCAACAGGTCCTAAAGTTAAGGGGCCAAACAAGAGGTTAACTGAGAAACAGCCACACAGCTTCTAACTGCAAAGCACCTGAAATCCCAAACATTCATAGCTTGAATAATTTGATTCTAGAGTCTCAATGCACACTTGAGAGATAAGGCCTCTTATTAGAGAAAATGTTTGTTCCTAGATCAATAGATTCCATGGACAAAGAGTTAAGTTCTGGGGATCACAAGTCCTTCTTCTATGGTCAAACACTTTCTCCAGGCAACATATTTCAGTGAGAAAAGGTCTGCATTCAAAATTGTGCTCATTATTGGCCTGCGTAAGTCTTCCAGATCTTCCATATTTTTAAGAAGGTTTTTTCTTTTTCAAATAAACCAAAACATACAAAAACGCAACCAATATAATAGGTAGCAGATAAAGCATATTACTTTGGTCAGTACATAACTCCTACACACAGAGCAGCAGATGAAATCTTGATCTCCCCAATGCAATAAACCTTATTAACACCTGTGAAGCAGGAAGTTACCTTCCTTGTTACCAACCTGCAGCTGTGATACAAAATTACAAATAACCTCTTAAGTACAGCTCCAGTCACCTGGGTCAGTATTTTACAACATAGCAGCAGGCAGCTGAAGTAAAACTCTGCTGGGTTTAACACTGCAAACCCAAGCAGCGTTATTGCAATGGTTTAATTACGGTTTAAATACAGTTCAGGACTAGGTCAAAAGTTCCCAATATCCCCAGGAGGACAAAGCACTGCCCTTGCAACAGAAGAACCCCCTTCCCACTTGATGATTCTAAAATTGTTGTGTTGCCAATTGAAAAATGTTTAATTCATACTTTAAATGTTGTAGATATCAGGAATTAAATACTATGTCACAATTTTGATAAATACTAATTCATAATCTATACACTAACTGCATACATATGTATGAAGAAAAATACTTGGTTAGAAGGATTTGTATTTCCTCTGCAGTGCACCAAGGAAGTGACAATACTTCTTCCTGGTGATAGAAAGTGATGATTATCATCAGACAAAGCATAAGACAATTGCTATGGAAGTTGGAGAGCCTCAGGATCATTTGACAAAAATAATAAAACACTTTGCATATTTCACAGACACTGGTACACATACGTGACAACTTATTTTAGGATATACTTGATATTTAATTACTTCTATGAGTACACTGGGATATTTTGTCATAAACTCACTGAGTCCACTGTATTTGTAAAGAAACAGTATTCTGAAAAGTGAACTCCACTGCTAATGTTTTTATTTGAATAAATTATTACCCAACACAGCAACCATCAACATTTTACAGAACGAGAACACAGATTTCTGTAATTTTTCTGGCCCTAATGCCAGTCACTATTGGGAGCATTTAGTTATAAATTGTCTTTCAATAAAAGTAAAAGCTCCCAAAACAACAAAATGAAAAGACACAGCAGCTTAAATCAAGGAAGTCAATTTCCACATGCCGATCCTAAATATTTCATAGCCCTATTTTATTCTGACATTTGTAGATGACTAAAGTGTTACAAAGGAAATAAAATGCTGATTAAAGAGTTCACTGTCATAAAGGTTACTGAATTGTAAATGGCCCTTTCCATCTTCCTGTTAATAGGTACCCAGCTGTAAACATCATGAAGGATGTGACGGGAGGCCTGTGCTGCTCCTTTAGGAGTCGTATATACATTAATCACTGAATCACCAAGCCATGCTTAATTGCAAGTTGTATATCACACAAATCCATGGTAAGTAGAAGGAAACTCATTATTGCTGCTTCATAACTACTGGGTACTTCTCATTTTAACCTTCTCACACCTGGGACACTGTTGTTTTACAATGTGAATGCAGAAAAGGCATTAAGTCACTAATTATAGTAACATTGTATGTTACCCTGCTGTTTGAACATTTTTCAAAATAAAACAAAGTACTATCAACAACAGAGAAAAATGCATTTTTTAAACTACTTAAGTGAATTCTAAAGATTTTTTTTTCTGGATTATAGCACATGGAAATCCATTATTCCTTGATAGTTTAAAGAACTGGTTAAATGACAAAGAAAAAAAAAACCTAACACTGTATTTTGTTTTGACAAAATTATTGATTTAAATCCCATCCAATAGCACAATACTATTTAAAGGTCACCTAAAGAAAAATGAGTTTACACTCCAACAGAGCAAGCTTATCTGCCATGAAAGTGTAATGATGTGTTTATACTCTCACTAGTGTGTATATATTTTTCAGAAAGATAAGAGATTTTGTTCAGGTGAAGTCTGACAAAACAGAAAAGGAAAAAAAATATGAGATATTTGTGTAGTTGCTAACCACCAGTATTCATTTTAACAATCATTTCAATAGGTTCCCCCCTCCATGTGTTTTTACACTATTGAGCACCATAGCAGTGGTAATTCTTATATGCCATTCATCAGATGTTTTATCAGAACTCTGAAGATTTGCAAAGTTTACTGCACAGCTTAGGTACCTAGACCCTAACAAGCATCTTAATAGATATAAAACGTTTCAATTTGAATATCCTTGTGTTTTAATGGAAACTGGTTTGAAATTTTGTTTCACAGTGAAACACCATACGTCCTGGCATAGTGCTCAGCTAAAAGTAAGTTTATTAATGAAAATCATTCAAAACGACACCATTGCAAAGATAAACTCTATGCAACTGGTATCTGTTCCTAGTGTATTGCTACTATTTTATGTTCCATTCTCAATTCCAAGAGTTAATAGAATCAGTGTTTTCTTACACCCAGGATATGTTAAGATGTTCTTCACATCAGCTCGGCCCTAGGATATTCCATTATCTGCTATCCCAGCCCTCTTGCCACTGCTCTCAACTCTGCAAGAAGTCTAATACACTCTTCCATTATATCCTCACTGTGCTCACATGATCCCTTTTCAAATATATTTGAAGGACCTGCAAAGAAATTACACCCCTTTCCTCTTCTTAAAAAGAATATGCACAAAGAGCAGTGGTTATGGCTTTTGAATCCCTCTGCTCCTCTACACCAGCTGGTGTTGATAGGCTCCATGCTCCTCGTGGATTTAGCTGCCAAGAATACACTGCAGCACACTCACATGCACTTCACAAGAGCCACTCACCTTTAAAATACCTGAGCTTTTGGCTTCATCACCCCCCCCCAAAAGCAACCTTACAAAGTAGAAATCTTTTCTCTCATTTAGCAATTCCATATTCACAGATTGAGTATTCTCAGCTTTCCTGTTGTCTTCAGTAGTTGACGTGAGCAAAAAAAGGGAAATCACACCATAACATTGGAGAGAGACTCAATAATTTTGATTAAAATGCAGTAAAATGTTTTAACATAGGCCAATAGAAATTGTATTTTGGGAAGTAACATTTATTCTTAGATTATGGATGCCTATTTTAAGATGATCCTTTTTAAACTACAAAGATTCTAAAAAAATAATCGAAGAAAAAAAAGCTTTTCTACATTGTCTCAGATGGTAGGAATCTCAATTGTCTTTACTTTTGGAAATTATATAATCAACAATGCCCAGTCCTTGATCATGACAAGCAGAGCCTCACAGGTTCCTATGTCCCATCCATGCATCCGTTAGCAAGGGAGAAGATTTAATCTGATAAAAAGAAAAAAGATACTCCAGAGAAAGAAAAGCCTCCAGACTGAGTTTTCAAAACACTCTGCAATGCTCAACACAGAGCATACAAGCAACAGTTAGAGCAAAAATTCCTTCTACCCCTTAAATTTCAATTTTTAAAAGCAAGGTTATTTTCATCATTTCCTCTTCACAAAATACATATGCTTAACAAATAAGTAAAGACATACATGAACTAAAGAAGTTATTTATAAATTAAATTTAGATCTCCATACTTTGGAACTGTGCACACAAGTTCAGATATAAAACCACGACAATAAGTGACACTCCAATGACTGATACCTGGCTCAAAGTCAGCACCTCTCAACTAAATCCCTACTTTGTCTTTTATTTCAATACCTGCGTTTGTTCACTATATAGGGGGAGTGAAAAAAAAAGTGCAATAATAATTTCCACTGACTGGTAGGTTGCCTGAAAGCTTAATCCATCATTCACTTGAAAAATTTCAGATAAGAAGTGCTTCATTAAAGCTGAAGAGCAATTCCTCTATGCATGTCTCTTGCATTTTGTCCCATCTTTATGGACTCCATAACATTCATACAAAATTATATTAATTTTAGGTATACAATCCTTTCTGCTGAGCCTACTATTGAGATATTGTCAGTCAGGATAAAAATAAAAACAAACACGGCTTGTGATTTCCTAGAAGCTTTAGACAACACTTGCTGATTTAAAAAAGGAAAAAAAAAATAATAAAAAAAAGCTAACATAAAAAAGAAAAAGTGACATCTAAAAATAATTTCAAAAGAGCTTTTGGTGTGGTTTGATTCGTTTTGTAGTTTTGGGGCAGGCCTATACTGTTTGGGGTGGATTTTTGAGGGTTTCTTAAAGAATTTTTTAACAGAAAATTATTTTAATGGAAAACATTATATTCTGCACACTATGTAGCTGAACACCTATGCACCAGATGACATCCAAAGTACATCGTGCTGACTTCCTCTCTGAGCACACGAGGATATTTTTTGCTGTATATCAAAGGCCAGTCTCCCGTGTTTAATTAGCTGTTCATGTGCGAAAAGACCAAGTACACAAAAACTCGGATTCTAATTGCTGTTATTCTGAGACGTCTAAAAGTCTTCTTCTCTTGAATGTGCTGTCACATTATCTAGAAAATTGTAATAAGATTTTTAATTAAAAACAAAGAAAATTAAATGTGATACAATAGAGCATCTGCTTACTTTATAGAAATTATATATTTATAAAAAAAAGATTGTTTATACAGTAGTGCAATTGAATAGAAAATCATTGAAATTTTACACTCAATGGTACATTTCATTTGCTATTTTACTCTGCAAGTGACTAGAAACTTCATTAAAACATGATGAGTATGTGAGTTTCAGAACTCAGTAAAATTTCTTTAAGGCTGTAACAGCTCTTCAAAAGAAAATAACTGCCAAACATAAGACATTACTCAACACTGATACAACTGCAGTCTGTATCAAATTATATTTAAAGAATACTGAAAGTTTAGGTTGAGAGTTTTTGAAAGCACCATGCACAAAACATTAGATTTTCCCAAATTTTTATTTTTCAGGATTTTCCCCCCGTTACTCCAAGGCCAAAGGGGATGGAAGCTGGGCAGCAGAGAGGCTGTGACCCCAGAGATTACAGCCCAAAGCAGACCTGCTGTTTCTTGGGGGTTGTCTTCTGGAGGATATGGTAAATTTTCTTCCTGCAGCTGTGCCAGGGTCTGCACTGTTTGTTCACA